CACCCCTAGGTATCTACCCAAGAATGCTAAAGTAGTAATTCACTGAGATACATGCACTCCAACATTCACTGCAGCACATTTACCATAATCAACCTATGGAAAAACCTAAGCACCCAAAGACATAAGTGTGGATTAGGAAGAAGTCTTAATTATATACACAGTGGAATACTATTCAGCAATAAAAAGGACAACCTCTTGCTGCTTGTGACAACCTGGATGGAACTGGAGAAGATTATGCTGAGTGAAATAAATCAGAAGAAAGACAAATGTTGGATGACTTCTGTGCATTTGAAATATAGAGAATCAAAACAAAATGTTTGATAAAACCAAACCAATAACTAGCTCTAGAAACTGGCAACGTGGCAAGTACCCTGTGTCCTTGACCCCTGGTATGAACTAGGCTGGTATCCTGTGATGAATGTAGAAGTGCTGATGAGGACGTGGGCCCAAGACACCCTCCCCACCCCACATTCAATCAGCTTTTGAGGGTCTCCCACCCCTGAATGAACAAAAACCAGACTTCTCTCTGAAAATGGGTATAGATCACATTAGCAGCTTTCTCACTGCCAAGAGAACTTTCCAGGCCTACTTTTAAGTAACATTAGTTTGGCAATTAAAAAAATGTTTGGAACTCTGGGAAACCTTGAAACTGTGAAAGAAGTCATTTTTCTTGAAGTTTCAACAAGCAAAGCCATATATTTAAAAAAGATCTCTGAAAGCCTCACTGAGAAGCTGAAAAGGGGGTGACACTTAGTTACCATTGGCCCCATTTGAGACAATCATGTTCATTCCATACCTGTTGATTGTGTATGGGTCCACAGAATGTGCTCTATGAGTTTACAGCACAGCAGCAGCAGCTTATGTCAAGGTTGGATCAGAAGACCTTGCCTTGTAACACCAAACCTACCTCCGCCGTTATTTGGAGAACCTTATCTCCACTTCACTCCTTGTATCAATCCCTCCCATTTAAATGTCAGAAAACAGCAGTAACACCATGTCTAAGAGGAAATATGCAGTGACATGAAAAACTGGCAAAATGAACATTTTTTTCATAAGCAGAAAAACCAGAAGAACAAAGGCCGGTGTCTGCACAAGAGTCAAGCCAAGATCATCTCTTTCTCCTACTGTCCTGTAGCAATGCTAAGTAGGCCACAGAGACCTGACAACTTGCCTGTGGAGAAGCGATAGAGTCCCAGCCAGGTGCAGCTGTGGGATATGGAGAGGTCACGCTAACTCACACGAGCAGGACCTAAAAACAGGCCTTGAGATTATGTGACCATTGGTCAGACCTCCCGGGATGGACCTTGAGCACACTTATGGTTCTCCCTAGACCCATCATCTAGACACAAGGAATGTCCTTCCTGGTGTGGGCAGAGGGGGTTAATGTTCCTCGAGAAATCTCACAATGTATAACTTTGATCCCTACCTTGACAATGGATGCCGTCATTGATAATGTATAACTGTCTTAATTACCAGGACTGCCTGCGTGAGTTAATGCCACATACAGTTTGCACAGATAATTAGCAAAAGGTCAAAATAAGGGCTATGGTGAAAGGTTAAATTTATGTCGTGTTTAGAATGTGTCTAATGCTGAGGAGATGGAAATAAAAACCCTGGAAAAATAAGGACTGACACTGGAGCCTTGAGCTCGGTCTGTCACTCAGGTCTCTGTGACTCAGTTCTTTCCACGTCTCAGGTCCAGGATTCCCAAGATCGACACTTGCCGTGTTTTGAGTCTAGTTCTAAGCTTCATCATCTCAGGGCTTAGTAGCAGCCAGGCTTGCTTTGCCATAAGTTTTCCACAGCCAAGAAGACAAGTGTTCAGGCCACATTGCTTTATGGTAAGGTATTAATTGGCATAATACATAACAGGAATTAACGTTGCAAGAGGCTAGGAAAAACAGGTTGTAGCTCTGAAGACAATGGGAGACAAAATTGTGTTGAGCTAATTGTGGGTGATTGGAATCGCACCCGGGGGGTGAGTAGGTGGGGGTGTGCTTGAGGCATAAGTAGATTTTCTGGTGTGCTCTAAAGGTCAGCACTTCGCAGGTTATATGGAGGTTAGATACCCTCAGCTGAGGCCAGACTAAGATAGACAATGATTATAGGAGTGAGATAAGAATGATAAGTTGTAAAGTAGGACTTCAAGGAAGACAATATATTAGTAATAGTCTTAGGAACAAATGAACAACAGGATGCAGGGAAAGGAATCTACGTTAGGGAGTTAGTAAGTAAACATTACCAAATGTCCCAGGTGACTGATTATCCAGGAAATGAGGTTGTTTCTTCGGTTTTTCTTAAGATGACCAAATACGTTTCTTTCCCGTACAATGCCACGGGGAGTCTCCAAGTGACTATGAAAACTATGTCATTATTATTTCTACTTTGCTTCAATGCTTCTTTTGATGTAATCTCACTGCCTGCTTTAACATATAAAGACCTGCTGAGATGCTCAGTAGGAGATTCTTGCACCAGGTAGATGTCAGTGTCCACCTCCACTGCTCATTTCACCAACACCGCCTCATCCTTTGGGGAAGAAGACCCCTGACGGGCCACCTGTCAGAGCTGGACTCTGACAATAAATGTTGTAGAAGCCATGGACTTACTGGTTTTAACTCAGCAAATGATAGTGTTCCAGGGCACCCCAATGTGAATTGGGTTGCCTGTCTGTGGGTCTTCACCTGTGTGCTTACGATTCAATTGTATTAAGGACACACTCAAAAGGTTAAATAATGGATTTATTTATAAGGAGAAAGGTAAAGGAATAACCCAGGGAAAGAGGGAGAGCAACACAGGTTAACTAGGATGTCCTACCACTTCTGCTGACTTGGACTCCACCGGCACGCTGAAAACCGATGGAGAGCCAAAACGATCAGCTGCGAACCACCAGGCCAAGAGCCCCCCAGAGCCCACATGTCCGGTTTCATCCCAACCTGGCTGCTCAGCTCCACCCTCACGTCCAGGCGTGCTTCTCCTTGGTACTGATGGGATTTGGAGTTCCAGCATCTGGAGTAGGGGCGGAGTCCATGAACCTGTACCTGTTACAATAGGTTTCCAAGGGGGGGTGGTCTCCTTAAGAAACTTCCTTGCGAGGTTAGAGTTGGGTACAAAGAAAGTCTTATGGGTACAATCTTCCATTTAAACATGAAAGAGGAAATTTGAAGATGCTGTGACTGGTATTGGAGGGGAAAAGGGAATAACTTCATTTCCACTTGGCAGTTTCAGAAATGTAAGTTCTCCCCAGAACACGCATAGACCTGGCAGTAACAAGTCCTGGGATACCGTAGAGCAAAGTGGGAGATTCTGGCTTCAAGTGAATCCAGAGAAGCCACGAGTGAAACTCTAGCACCAATTCAGAAATAAATATTGGATGTCATGTGCGTGTGCCTGTAAAATATAAGCAAAAAATATGTTTTTTCACTTTTGATCAGTCACTGCTGAAACTGCTCTCCTAGCCTAGAGGAGGAAGGTTTTCTGTTTACAAAACACTTCCACATAGATTCTCTCATCAAATCCTTCCAGCCACCAGGTGGAGTAAATACGCTTCTCAGAACAGGGAAGGTCAGGAACTGGCAACTTGCCTAAGCTTGGCAGGAACGTGGTACCTCAACTCTCTCACTTTATGCTGGTTCACCCACTGTGCTGTTGTGGCTTTGGGTCATGTGACCCAGAGAAACTTCTGAAATTGATCAAAAAAGAACAATTGAACACACATTCCATTTGATTAAAATCATCTGGTTTATTAATCCTTCAGGTGCCTTAAAACGTTCTTTATCCTTGATAGCATTTTTAGGGAATTGGGTCCAAATTTCAGGGTTCTTGGGGGAAATTTTAAAACTCTTTTGTTCCTTATGTAGGATTCTCTCCAATCAGTGATTCCCAAATAAGATTTTGTCTTATTTGTAGCTGCAAAATATTAGGACAAATTATATGGCCAGCAGAGATGTGCTCTGTCAGTCTAAGTACCTTGATGTGTCTGTGAAGGATGAAGTTTCCCTCTCTGTTCACCAGGCTGTGACTCTGGAAGAGAAGAGTGGTCAAACTATGCTGCTGTCTCCTCTCCTGGACCCCCAGGCCCTGGAGTCCAGGAGTCCAGGGCCCACGTGACCATGGGAGTGCCAGACCCTCTGCTCAGAATTGTCCCTCTCAGGTGGGTGGAGGGGCAGGCACTTGACAGCATGTGTCACTGAGATCAAATCTTAAGTGCCACAAATATAGATGCCCACAAATGCAGGGCCCTCCCTGGGGGCACGACAGGTTTAGCAAAGCACTGTGAAATTATCCACAGCCACTGCAGCACAAGTTCGATCCCCAGCCAGGGAGGCGACCTACATGGCATGGCAGACCTCTCCTGACCCGCCCGCTGCTCCTCGTCCATCTGCCTGTTCTGCTCCCCACTCTGTCTCTGGTGAATCCTCTCACCCCCACACCTCTGGCCTGTACCCTAATTCTTACATACATAAATAATAAATAAATCTTAAAAGCAAACTAAAAACAAATACAGACTTTGAAAACACCCACTCCCATCCTTTCCCTGTACAGATCTTTTCTGATCCTAAGCCAGATTTCATACCTGTCTCTTTTCTCCTCCCCCATTCCTACTGTATGTGTTGCGCACGGTGAGCATACTCGCATGCACACACACACACACACGCTTATTTCTGAGGTCCATTCCTCTCATGACCCAATGGTTTTAAATTGAAAAAAGGGAGATAAGAGAGAAAGAGCACCCCACTGGCTGGTTGAGGTGACTCCATCTCTGGGCCTGGCTCCGGTTGCTGTGGTCTGGAGACTGCCTGGTCAATTATAGAAGCACAGAGAGAGGAGAGATGCATTTGCTCTTCTACAAAGCCACAAGTCAGTGAATGTAAATGTGCCCTATTGGAGAAAACCAAATTAAAGGAACTACTGGGAATTCTCTGCATACTTAAGCAAAACAATTTGCCCTCCTTTTAAGGACATGCTCACCCTTCAGAAATACCCTTAAGCAGAGAAACCGAGAAATGTATCATTTCAGGCAGGATGTGCTGCATGAGCCAGGTCCATCCTTCAAAGGAAGAAATGCAAAATCCATCACGCCCTGGACAGCTTCTGCAGTGTTGCAGCTGCGAAGACAGAGAACGGGCTCTCCAGGGTGACGCTGCTTTAAGTTGACGGGTGTCTGCAGCATCAGAGCCTGGGCTTCCTCTCGCCCACAGCACACTCCAGTGTGAAGACAGTTCAAGAGATTGTAGACCAGGGAAGCTTCACCTCCCAGCTGGAGACAGGTACCAGGCAAATGAAGGGGGGGCGGGAGGGGATCTGGAAAGCTCATGCTTCTGGCCCTGAAATTTGTCAGTGGGGTGAATTGCAAAGATTAATCAAAATGCCTCTCCTTGGCTTGAATTGCTATGGGATCTTAACTTCCAATTGTTCTGTCTCCCTCTCCAACCAGGCCGGGGAATAGAATTCAGGGAATGGAAATGTACTCAGCCTAGTTCCCAGCCAAAAGGGGGCTGATGTGAGTATTCTGAGATTGCGTGGGAGTCTCTGCCTGCCCTTCTCTGGGCCTCTGTCTCCACGTCTATGTGTGTCTGTCTGTCTCTGGGTCTGTGCCTCTCCCCTATTATAGTTTTCTTCCCTTGCTTTCTCCATGTTCTCTTTTTCCATGGCTCCCAAAAGCCTGGCTTGGTGGTAGAACCAAGAATGTGCCCCCACAAGGGGATTGCAACTGAGATGGAAAAATGCACAAAAATATGGAAAAATAAATTATTATTTAAAAAAAAATGTGCCCCTCATACCTGGGCTGTGCAACTGAGAGGATGTGGGATCCCAGGCCAGAAACCCTGGAGCAGGGGAGATGGGAGAGCAGGGAAAACTGCTTTATCGGATGCTGTGCCTCGAATGCTTTGCCTAGCAGAGACATCAGTAGAATAAGTGATTGTATGAATCTAGTGCTAGGAAGAGAGGGTGGTCAGGAGTCGGAAGTTGGAGAGACTTCAGGATAAATGATGGGGTGGGTGAGGTCACCCCTAAGAAAGTGCAGAATGAAATGGAAACCGGAGCCAGGACTGAGCTCCCACAGCAAGAGCTCAGGAAGAGGAAACCTACAGAGAGGGAAGCAGGCTGTCCCAGAGCGAGGAAAGGGACCAGATGGCTGGGTGGTCTGTGGAGTGAGTTCGTCACTTCAAATCTCACCAGTCTCCATGTGTTTGTGTGAGTGCGGGTGTTGGACATTGCCATCAAACATAGCAGATGACGCCACTATCCCTGTTTTTCTCCAAGACTCTTCTTGTATGTTTTTTCTTAGTCTGATATTTACTTTTAATTCTGCTAAACTGTAAACATCCATCCACCCACTTACACGTCCATCCACTTATTCACCCACCTTCCATCTTTCCAGTCACCGCTTCCTTCATTAATTTACCCAGCTATCCATCATCCACCTGTCCATCCATTCATCAATCCACACCTCTATATCCATCCATGCTTTCATCCTTTCACCCACCCATCTATCCACCACCCATCTAGCTATCTAGCCTTCTACCTACCCATTTATCCATATACATGTACACGTCACCTGCCTACCTACCCATTATTATCTTCCCATTCACCCACCTATTGTTTAACCATCCATTCTCCTTCAATCCACCTCCATATGTCCATCCATAGATTCTTCCTTCCATCTACCATGTCTGTCCATCCCTCACCTATCCATTCAATCACTTACATATCTCCACCCATGTAGCCATCATCCAGCCATTCATCATTCACATAGTCATCCATCCATCCACCTATCCAACTACTATTTGTCTGTCCACTCCCCTATCTGTCCATCCATCCATCCATTCATCCATCCATGCATCCATCCATCTAGGTCCCAGGACACCCACTAAGCTGCAGGACACATAAGGTGTACAAGGAGTCCTCACTCCTCTTTCTCACCCCTGTTCCTACTCTATTCATTTTGGTTTTCTGGCTCGGAAGGAATTGTGCAAGATTTGTTTCACATACATAATGATATCCATTCTGGTACTTGGTCTTGGCAAAGCACCTTGGATTCCGGTTTAATTATATTGAGTTAGTGGTGCAATAATAGCAATAACACCATGATTAAAACAATCTTTCTTTTAATGAAGAGAAGGAATATTTCTAGCTTCCAAATTGCCCAAACTGTTTGCACACAGTCAAGGCTGCCTCTAGCCCGTTTCAGCCTTCTCCCCTCGGTTCAGTCTATCAACATTTGCATTTTCTTTCAGCCTGTCAGTATGAAAAAGCTCTTAGGTAGTGGTGCCTGAAAGGTCAACATAGCACCTTCACAAAGACTGATGAGACCAATTCTATTGTGCCACACTTGCTAGTGTGCCTCCTTCCCTCCTGGCAGCAGACAGCAGGCTGGCTTGGCTGGCATCCCTGCCCACGCCTGGCATCCTCCTCCCTGCTGCTGCCACTGGAACCACAAATTCTTGCTTTCTCAGTAGGTCCCTTCTTCTGCCACCACCTGGACATGTCTATTTATAGATCATTTACCCATCAGTTTTGGAGCCATGGTAGACTTCAGCTGAGCGTAGAATCACAAAGTAGCTTAAGGACCCTCTGCTCCATAGATTACAAACCAAGACACAACTGGTCCTTCCTGAGTCTTCTAATGAGTCGGATTAACCCATTACCAGCTTCTGGACCTTGTCTTTCCTCTAAACTCTGAGCCAACTTTATGAGCATATTGTTTTTCACCCACTGTGGAAGGAGGTGGTAGCATAAGCCCTTCAGAAGCAGACTCCATCTGTGTGTGTGTGTGTGTGTGTGTGTGTGTTTGCTGCGACAGGTGATGAATTAGGGGATTAAACTTGCAGCAAGGGAGAGCTGTTAACTCTGTTGGCTCTAACAAAAAGAGGTTTCTGAGTGTCCTTCCCTGGGGAGAGGGGAAGCTGCCTCAAATGATTTAAGGAGACAGAAGATGATGTTTTCAAAATTCCTTCCGTGTCTACAGTTTCTAACTACGCATCTCTCCAGCATTCTGCTCTCTGATTTCAGCAGCCTGGGTAAACTTATACTGGGACAGACCTGTCTTTCCTCCCCACCTGTGTTTTCCATTGCCCCGAATTTATTGATGGGGTGAGGAGGGCTTCTTGTAAATCCATCTAAAAGAAATCGGAGGCATAGTTTGGGGTATGTGTGTCTGATCTAGGAAACCGATGTCTTTTTATTTCTGCCTTGATAACAAATATGCATCTATTCCTATACTCAATCATGTTTTTTTTTTAGGCTTGCTGATTTTCTTTGTCTTCACCTTCCAAGTGCTGAGTGAATGGGCACTTCTCTGAAGCACTGAAAGTGTCCTGAGAAATAGTTAAACTGTGGAGTTCTTCACTTGAGAAGGTAACTGTGGACCCAGAAACATATATCTGGGGAGTCTGCTGAATCTGAATTTAAAAGCCAGAGGATTGACTCTCGCCTTCTGGCATAGCAGAAAAGGTCGTGGGCTCATGACCAGGCTCCTAAAATACTACCAAGACCCACTGTGGACTCCCCAGGGCTCTGGAGATGCCTGGGACTCAGTAACAGAGGAGCGAGGCATCAGAAGGCACCAGCTGCTCTCCTACCACCCTTTCAACCAACCCCAGAGGCAATAAATGCAAGTTAGTTGCCAGGGTTAGGGTGAAGTATTCCACCAGTTTAACCAACGTCCTGGGGGCACAGAACCTGTAATAATCACTCCAGGTCCCCGAATTATTCTGGGCTGTTTTGCTTGAGGCATGTCTGAGCCAGGGGCACATTCCAAAGGAATACAAATTCTCCCACAGAGAGCTCTGAAAAGTAATAGATGCATTTCTGACATGAAGCTGAGAGAAACATTTTATGATGGAGAGAGCAGGGCTCCCTGCCGGTCTGTTTACACCCCTCCTTCCCCAACCCCAGGCTTCATCCAACCACCCCACTGGTCTTCATGAGTACCCTCCCCCACCAGCCCCCAAGCTTTCACACTGGCTTTCCACACCATCTCCAGCATCCCACCCCAGGACCCATGTTGATTTTCAGCTAGACCAGGCATCTATCAGCATTTCTAAGGACTGTGCAGGCCCTTAGCTTGAGGGGAGTGATTTTTCTCACTCGTGTTAAACAAAATTAGATTTTTTAAAAAAGATTTATTTATTTGTACATACAGAACTGGGGTACAGGCCAGAGGCTCAGGGGTGGTGAGAGGCTTCACCAGAGACAGAGTGGGGAGCAGAACAGGCAGGTTGATGAAATGCACTGCTGAGGGGAGCAGCGGGCGGGTCAGGAGAGGTCTGCCACGCCATGTGGTCTCCTCCAGGGCAGGTGGGGATCGAACTCATGCGGAAGTGGCTTTAGCTTCTCAGTGCTGTGCTTTAATCCGCTGCGTCACCAGGGAGGGCCCAAAATTAGATTTTAAGGAGAAAATGTAGACAAGAATCTGAAAGGACGGGGGAGACAGTGGAAGGTGAGATTTCCCTTTCTTTGTGAGACAGAATGAGCATTCGCCCTTCCCAACCAGGAAGGGAACCTCTCCTTTGTGTAGTCTCTGTGGGAGGACTGAGGGAATGATGCCTCACTCACCGCAGTGAGACTGAGTGGGGAGCAGACTGGGGCCCCCATCCCCAGCACCATGAGAGCAGGGCTTTCTGCAGAGGTGCAGAGGGCATATGGAGACCCCCAGTCTCTCTTGGGAACCAGGACAGCGCTACCTGCCTGATTGGGCAAATTTCACAACAGACTCCGGGGTGGGATTTTGCTCATCTTGGCAGTTAACCACTTTGGCCTGACTGTCCCGTGTCACACTGCATCCCGAAGGATCTGGATTCTAAACCAGATTGGCTGCCGTTAGTGGCTGTCTGAAGCCCCTGTGGGGGTCCCAAGCTTCACTGGCACTGAGTCTTACCTGGAGGCTGAGTCACCAAGAGCTCTCTCTGGCAGTGAACAAGGAATTCCCCACTAATCTTGCTGTGCATTTAAGCCAATGCCTTCGAGAGGGGCTGGAGGGATGCTGGACATTAGTTAATGAGGTGACTTCCATGTGCCAGTAGCTTTAGATGTGAAATTTTACTGAATTCTCAAGGCTGTGATCGGTAGGTGCTGGTATTCCTTTCAGACAGGTAAAGAAACCAGAGCTAAAGGTTTTGAACTACTTACCTTAGGTCACAGTATCTAATTGGGAACCTTTCCATGAAAGGTCTTGTATGTTTTGTCTTGATGTGACCGATGGCAGAGTTGAGTTGGAAGCCAGAAACTTCTGATTCTACAAGTACTTTCCCATAACTCCACACACCTCCCCCCACTACATTTTTTTTTTTTTGGTGTGTTATATTAACATTAAGTTCACTCTTATAGACCAACCTGATATTTTCTTAAAGGAAGGCTTGATTGAGCGGGCTTCAAAAAGTTCACAGGAAAAAAAAAATCACATGTACTGAATTAAAAAAATGTTGTCAACCCCCCTATCCCCAACATCAGTCAAGACACAGCCCACGACCTTGTCACTCCTGAGCAGGTTCAGACAGGACAAGGGACTTCACATGTGACAAAGGACGTCTCTGCGAATGGAAGAGGAAACTCTGCGAGAACCCTGACCCAGGTCTCTCTGGCACACACTGAGAGCAGCTTTGCACCATATTCCCCAGGAGACCACCTTGCTGCCCAGCTCACACCGAATAAGAATGCCAGTTGTCATTGCAGGAACCAAAGTAAATCTTTCTGTCATTTTTCCCACAGAAGGCAGGCTCAACTAGTCAATGAAACAACTTCCTCTAAAGCTCATGGCCCAGATGGGCTCCCTTGGCTCGCCCGGGAAGTGAGTTGTCCTCACTGCCAGGAGATGGTGCAAAGAGAAAACAGGAATCTTTAATTAAAAAGGAAGAGGAGACAGCAATTGTCCCCACTCTCAGGGGGAAGGGCCTGCGCCCGCCCGGGGTGGGCATTATTCTTGCCTTTCACAGAGGGTCGCTTCACTCACATTTTTGTTCGGTTGCTAACTTCACCTTCCCGAGTAACACCTGGATCTACAAGGTGATGGTGAGGGGGGGTCAAAGAGAAGGAGTAGTTGCAAATGGAGAGAAGATAAAGTCTTCGAGAATCTGCGTTCTTTGACTGCTTCTTCTGCCCCCTTGCTTATAAGTGTAACAAGGGGGTTCCCAGGAAAAAAGGAGTTTCCAGGTTCCCTGCCCCACCCCACAAAAGGGTGGAGCTGAGTGGGAAGGAGAAGAATCTGGACAGAGGACTGGAGAAGAAGAAAGCAGGATGGAGCCAGAAGGAGACCTGAAGAGGCACAGGGAGCAGAGACATGTGAAGAAGCAGCTCTTATTTCTTGGCCCTGGACTGTTTGAAACAGATGTGGGTGAGAGACCCGTGGGGAGGTGACTATGGCAGCATTTATCTTGATTTTTATTTTGCTCTTTTCTTCCCAGACTTGTCTGGCCATTTCTGACCTTTTCTATGGGTTCCCGCCAGAAGGTACTTTGGGTGTGTGGCAGACTTTTGGGTCTTGCTTTGGGCCAATCCCTTTTGGGAGGATGGGTAACTTTGGGTGTTTGATTTAGAAGCTATATTCTTTGTCTTTTCTATATCACACACTCTTTGTATTAAAGTTCCTTTCCATTAAAGGTTTTGTATGTTTTGTCTTGATGTGACATTTGGCAGAATCTATTTAGAACAGGCAGGTTTGGGAGGCATGGGAGACCCCTCTCCCTGCTTCGTAACATAAGTAAAACCAAGAGGTTTGACCTCATTGCTAAGCTGTTGGTCAGAGAGAACCCTTTGGTAAAAATGAAGAAGAGCTTCAGCTCTCTGGGTGTGCAAGGCAAACTTCAGGACGGAGGAAAGACCAAGCCAATGTTGGCTCTGTCGCGAGGCCTCACACTACACCCCTGGAGGCTTTGTTTGTGGCTGGTGGCTGGTCCTTCCTGGTCACCCCTGGCCAGGTGATCACCCTGAACTCCCTGCTTATGAGAAAGTGGTTTCTGAGGTTCCCCCAGATGGCCCCATTTTCCAAGACAACAGACAGTTGTCATTCTCGGTTCTCAAATCACCTGTGAAACTCTCTGAGAGGTTTTGCCAAGGGCAGAGACTGCCTCCTCCAGGTCCCCAGATTGCTACCTGGCATGTTGTAAACTCTATTAATGGCAAAAATAAAAATGATGCTGACGCCTGCCAGTACAGGAATGAGAGGGAGTAAAACCGAATCTTCTTGATACATCAGCAGATTGTAAGCTGAGGACAGTCATTGGAAAGTTGGGCTGGAAGCACCTGACCAGCCTCGTACCCTGCCAGTGAGAATTGCAGCCAGATGGAAGGCAGAAAAAGCGCAGCAGCAAAACCCTCTCCCGGTCTCCCACCTACGTGGAAGTGGGAAGCACACAACCAGTGGAATATATTGTGCAAACAGCCCCTGCCAGAGACTTCAGGTATCTGTAATTAACAGCAGAGGGGAATTGGCCCACCACATGTATAGATTTCCCTGTAATGAGATCATTACCTTATTCCTTTATCCAGTTCTACATCAAGAGTTTCTTTTTGATCTCTGATGGGGTTACATTAAACTTTAAACTTAAAACTGGGTCCTGGGCTGGCACCCCATTAACACCCTAACTGCTGCCAGCGCTGTTTCCTGTCAGCTGGGGTCCCTACCAACACTTCAACCACCTGCAATATTTCCTATCCAGTAGTCTTAATAAGAAGTTTTCTGTGTTGTTGTTTTTTTTCCTCCTTTTTTTTGGAATGCAAAGGAAGGGAAGATATAAAAGCCAGTTGCACCCCAGCCCGAGGGCAGGTTATAACTCAACACCTGTCCTTCTTCCCTTTGAAAGAAATTTCAATGAGCTTTACTTTACTTCTAACCTCCTAGTCTCTAGGGATTCTCCCCTCCCCTGCGCCCACCTCACCTAGATCTCCCCCCACCCACCCCCCACCACATCAATCTCTTTACAGTTTTCTACAAGCTGATGCAACATAGAACTCAAGTTGCTCCCAAAAGGAGAAACTGGGCTTTCATAGATAACAAGCTCTGGGATAAAATCCGGGGTCCTGCCATGTCAAGTTTTTCTCAAATTGGAAATTTGTGCCTTAGTTTTCTGATCTGTAAGCAGGACCACCAGTGTATCCCACAGGGGAGGAGACAGGGGAAGCATTTTAAGAGATTAAAAATGTGCTGCAGACAAACAATGCGGGCAATTTGTCAGGTTCCAGTAAACTCACATTGGTGTTTTTTCCTGAAATGTTCCCTATGAGTGGCCTGGGAGTGATCTGGGTGGTGATGGGGGTGAATGAGCAGAGAAATCCTGTCCTCAAGAAACATGCATTCTAGTCCGAGGAGGCAGGGGAAAGGCACTGATCTGTGATGTAATATAATACAGTATTTCAGGCATTAATATGTGTGCTCTGAAAATCAAGAACCGGGCCCTCCCTGGTGGCACAAGGTGCTACGACGCAGCACTGCAAGCTGGCCGCAGCCACTTCAGTGAGAGTTCGATCCCCCGCCCCAGAGATGACCCACATGGCACAGCAGACCTCTCCTGACCTGCCCGCTGCTCCCCTCAGCAGTGTACTTCTTCCAAATGCCTGTTCTGCTCCCCACTCTGTCTCTGGAGAAGCCTCTCACCCCCCTGCACCTCTGGTCTGTACCCCAGTTCTGTAAGCATAAATAAATAAATCTTTCCCAAAAACCATCAAGAACCACGAGGGGCACAGAGTGAGGAGGGGGCTGCCGGATTAGGCAAGGGGCCAGGGGTGGTCTCTCCAAAGGTTTGGGCTTCAGCTTGTTAAAATATTGGAATGTTGCTTGTGGTTAAAAACTAACAGGATGTTGTCGAAGGCCCGGATGTTATCAGAAGCCCAGGCGCCAGCAGGACATTACTAGCCATTACCACCTGCACGAAGGAGGGTCCGAGAGCGACTCATCCTAATGGACTCCATACTTTGGAAATTTCCCAGCCCGCAAATTTCACTATATAAGACCCCCTGTTCAGAGGCTTGGGGTCCATCCCGTCTGGTCGAGTAGGTTCACTCCGGGGATCGGACCCCAGCCGGGGCTAGCAATAAAGGCTTGTACTTGGCTTTTGTATCAGTTCTGTGTCTTGGCATTTCTTGGACTCTAATGAGTAGGCAGAGGTGAGCGGTGTGGGTATTTGAAGAAGGAGCTTTCTAAGCAGAGAGAACAGCAAAATGCACACCCCTGGCTCAATGTCACCCCAACCCCACAGCATTTCACCCTGTGCCTGGAGGTCTGGCTGTCTTCTGAGTGACTCCACCAGGTACCTGACAACCCGAGACTGTTCAGACAGAACCTTAGCAACCTCCTGAGGTGTTCTAAGACTCTTACATCTTTCCAACGATGCTTCTACTTTTTTCTGTAAGAGGAAAGATGAATTGTGTTGATATGGCCATTTCAGGTCATCAGGCCTCGTCTCCCAGCCAGGCTGTGGGAGCAGCGCTGAGTGCTAGCTCCTGACCACCCTGAATCGGTGTCTCACGAAGCCACAGCTCCGGCAAGCAAGTGAAAAGAGGCAAACTGTTGAGAGAAGTTGATGTGAGAAGAAGTTTATTAAAGAGAAAAGGAACAGAAACAAAGTGGGATTCCCAGGTGGGACAGGCCAGGAAGGCCAAGGGATCCGAGTGGAGTCTACCTCAGGGCATATAGACGTCACTGGCTATTATTATTAATTATCATTATTGTCTTGTGATTGGCCAGTTCTCAGTGTCTCACTCTGTCATAAAACCTCTGTGCCCGGAACTACATCTTACATCTATCTTACATCTCAGCTTGTTACTGAGAGTCCTTGTCCAGAAATGTCCTGTTGCTCTAGCTGGGGGTGTTTGATGAGCCCTGATCCCTGGAGACTTCCTTCTTTGCAGAGACTTTTTCCTCTTCTATTCTGACCCCAGAAACTCTCTGCTTGCCTTGTACCTCAGAGTGTACCCCTGAAAATGGCAGGGCAGGCCCTGAAGGGGTGGGGGGGGGTAACTGAAACCAAGCTATGTTCCTCTCCTGGTGAGTGGACAGCACTCACGAAGCAGGGGGACCCTGCATACAGTGCCCAATACCCTCTCATGAAATAATACATTTTTTGCAAAGGCTTTAGCTAAATTACCAGCCACTTTATGGCCTGAATACACCCCCACTGTAGCACGTACATTAAACTAAGCCAGAAAATGTTTGGAGTGGGAATAGGCATAACATTATAGTCCATTATTATTATATATCCTTTTCATTACTCTTTGTTATATTTCTTAGGTCTAGCCAAAATAATTCTCACTCTGCTGACTGTTTACAACCTTCAGGTCCAAGTAGATAGTCTTGGGTTCCCCAGACCACCACTTACTGAATCTACCTATTCAGCTCTTCTAATCTTTCTTCATAAATCCACTTGTCCTCCCCCATCACTTCTGGTGGCTCCCCACTAACACTCACCCCATTTGTCTGGACCTGGCTGGTAATTAGATGCTCAGAGCTGAGCGCAGCCATCCAGGTGAGGCCTCAGCAGAGTCGTCTGTTATTCCAAGTGGGGCTGAGCAGATTTATTTCCATTCCCTCCGGGGCCCCACATTTCACTGCAGACAGGCCAAGCCAAAAAGAGCATGAAGAAGACAACACAGACGTCTCCCCAACCATGAAATCAGGTCCTGAGGGGAAGATCACAGAGTAGGCTGGATTCTGCTGAAAGCCCAGATGCACCCGGGAGGGGTGTGTGAAGAGGGCAGGGACTCATTTGCTGCTTCGTCTTCAGCGATGATGAGAGGAGGGGTTTTACACCTCAGAGAGACACTTTGTCTAAAATGTTATGAAAACCTGCATGGTTGGGGGGGGGGCTGATATTTCTGGGGGTTTTCTCCTTCAGGAAGTCACCAGAAGCTTACTCCACACTGAGGTAGGATGTGGGGAGAAGCACCCCATCCTGCCAGCGGAGAGGGCAGAGTCCTGCAACTCCCTCCCAGGCCCCTGCAGAGCTCCATCTTTCCTGGCCACCCACCACAGGGACCTGGGAGGGATCCACCCCCACCCTCAGCCAGTCAGTGGGATGGAGAGCATCAACCAGGTAGCTTGCAGGAGCTCAGCTGACTCAGCCCTACCCCCTGTCTGTCCATTTTGGAGCTCAACTTTTCCTTTTCCTGGTGTTAAGGGGAAGGATGTCCTAAAGGAACTCAGCAGTCTTGTGGACCCCACCCCCTACTCCAGCTTTCTGGACTCCACCCACTCTTCCAGTGATTGAAAACTACAACTCCCAG